AGAACGGTGCAAGGTTGGTTTTGATTTAGTCTTTACTAGATAGAAATTTTTGTACTCTCTCATTTGTAATTTGTAATCTTTTTTACTTTACTTTTAATAAAGATTGTGCAAAGCTACCGCACGTAAAAAAAAAAAAAAAAAAAAAAGAAACTTAAATAGCAAAAAATTAAATTATAAAAAATTATCTGCTAAAAAAAAGGTTAAAGAATAAAATTAAAATATTAATTTTAAAATATAACTTAAATTATTATTTTATTTGTTATTTATACTAAATTTAATATAAAATATATTTAGAAATATAAGAAAAAATTAATGTAAATGATTCTATATCAATATTTTTTCGCTATTCTAATATTTTAAATTTTTTAAATATATTTGTTAATACAAGTAAATCAGATAAACAATAAAGTTATCACAATCTCATTTTATATAAACAAGTATTTAAAATTATATAAGCTAAAATATTCTTTCTAAAAAAAAATAAATTTAATATTTTTTTTATTAAGAATGATTATATCTAATAATTGAGTATTTTATTAGGTAAAAAATAAAAAAACACTTGAATTTTTTAAGTTTATTACACTTTATAAAATTATCATTAAAATAAAAATTATCTTTAAAGATTTTGTAAAAAAATATCAATATAAAATAGAAAATATGGTAAGTAGGTATAATTATATCATTAGATGATTAAAAATATATTATTATAATTAGATCAGATAAGCAAATATTAGTCTGAACATTTAATATATAAGTAAATATCATAGTAATATTAACAAAGTTATAAATCAAATCAATAATTTTATTTAAAGTTCTTGATTAAAAAATATAAATATTATTATTATTATTACAGATTTAGCTTCAGTTTATATAATAGCAAAATAATTTAGACTATAAATATTTTTTAATAATTAAATACTAAAATTCTTAAATATTTAGAAAAAAATTTATTATATTTATAAAGATATTATATTTATTTCTTATTTTATATATTAAAACTAATTTTTATATAATAAATATGCTTAAATCTCTTCAAAATTTTTAAAAACTTCTAAAAAAAATCACAACTACCATATCATATTTTAAATCTTTATCTTATTTTATTAAATAATTAAAAAATAAATAAACTTATACTTATAACTAATATATTATATTAATCTAACTAGGTAAAACACATTAGAATAGTTATTATTTTTATTATTAATCTATATTAAAATGCAAAAGTGTATTAAGAGTAAATTATAGTTTTTAAATATTTTAAATATATGATTATTAAAAATTTATTAATAAATTTTAAATATAATAAAAATAGGCTTTAGTAACAATAAATAATTTTAATAATATTACTATAAATTAAGATAATATAATAGAAATATAATCAACTTCAAAAATTTTTTTGAGAATTCTTGATGATCTAAATTTTGAAAAAATTTAAATAATTTAAAAAACTGTTCTTTATTAATATTGTATAACTTAAAAATATTACAGAAAGATAAAATAAAATTATATAAAATATTACATATATTTAATTATTTTATGTAATGTATACTAAACTATTTAGACAGCTTTTAAAAATGAAAGTTGAATTTTTTGTTAGAGTGTCCAAAGAATAAGTAATACTTGCAAATAGTTTTGGATTCAAGTATTTTCTTCCTATGTAAGTACTCTAATAATTCTTTAACTTATATATTTATGTATCTTTCTATTATTAGTTGAATAAAAATAAAAATAAAAATAATTTTATTTTGTTATAATTAAATTTCAAGTCATGTGTCTACTAATTTATCATTGGTCTAAATTATTTATAGAATAATTAATTATAACAATTACAATCTAATAAAAAAAAAATTTTATTTTAAAATTAAATTTTATAAATCTTTTTTTTTAATAATGGCAACTCTTATCAAAGAAATTAGAAATAAATTAAAAGATGCAAAAAAAGAACATAGAGAAGCAAATGACAAGTTGAAGAAATTTGAAAAAGGAGAAGATGGAAAGCAGTTGAAAGAGTTGAAGAGAAAGATGAGAAAAAAAAGAGCTTGATGAAGAGGACAAGGAGGAGAAAAGAAAATTAGAAAAAAAAGAGAAAAGATTGGAGAAAAAGGTGGATGATATGTTAGAATATACAAATTATTTATAGAAAAAATTAGCTGACTTTGGCAAAAAAGAAGAAGGTAAGGATCAAATTGCATAAAAAAAATTATTTTTTCATTCATTTTATTTTATTTATTTATTAATCATTCATATATTTTTGACTAATTTTCACTTTGTTTCTTTCTTTTTCCTCTTTATTATTGTAGCAAGTAGAGTATAAATTATGTCTTTTTTTTTTTTTTTTTTTTGCAAACTTAAACTTTATTTTTTATTATATTTTATCTGTTTGAATGTTCATTATAAATTGTTTATAATTTTAATTAAATTGTGGACTTTCTTTCTATTGCTTCTATCAATTGATCAATTTTAGGAAAAGGTAAGCAACTTTTGATAATTTTTATGCTTTCAAATCTATGTTACTTTTCTCACTATTGTTTTCCTTTACAGAATTTGAAAAATTGTAAAAGAGAATTAATAAATTAGAGCTTCAAGTTATATCAAAAAAAGTGAACTCAAAAATGATAGAAGAAACTAAAAGTTGAAAATCTTTTTTACAATCAAAGGCTTATTATCAAATATTGATCTTATTTATATATTTTTTAAAACATCTGCTATTATCTTATTAATACTAACTGTTATTTTCATTAGAATTAGATAAAGCTTTTCAAATTGAATAAATGATAATGATAATTTCATAGGTGAACTAAGAGAACAACTAAATGTGATTTTTAATTTAGAAGAATATTTCAACTATCTATCTGTTATTTAGTTATCAGGCTATGGCAAGACTAGGACTATTTATCAGCTTGCCAAAAATCACCCTTTAATATATATTTATTTTCGTTCAAAAATCTTAACAGAATACCCTTCAGTTACTTCTAAAAGTAATATTATGCATCAGGAATTAATAAGTGTGAATAATATTGACAAAGCTCAGACTGTGGTAATTTTTTAGCTTCAGTCTATAATTCAAATATTTCATAACATATGTTTAGAAAAAAGATCAGAAGATTTGTTATGTCATGAGGTAAGATAGATTTTTTATTATCATTATTTAACATATGGTATACTTAGCTTTTTTTTGTTTTTTGAATAGGAGCTAGCTAATAAATTCTGGAAAAAAGTTTATGATCAAAAACAGAAAGATAATCAACAGATTCTAGCAATAGGAGCTGAAAAAATAATAATATTTTTTGATGAAGCATCTTCATTTCTTTATAATGATAATTATATATATATATACATTTTTGAATAAACTTTAATTTATTCTGAATTAATATTTTGAATGCTTTTGCTTTATTAGTTAATAAAAACAAAACAGATCTAGGCAATTTACAGAGCACTTTGGGATATTTAATAACACTTATATAGTATACTCACAGATACTAATTCTTCAGTTGCTGATCTTGTATTTTTAAAGAAACATAATAAATCTTTAAGTATAAAGAAATCATGAAAAAATGTTTCTCATACATTGAAATTTGATCAATAATAATTTATTTTAATCCAAAGGCATATGGTAAACTAAGTGTATATAAACCATTTTTCTATATAATAATACATAATTGTTTAAGATTTATTGGTTTATTTTTTATTCATTTTACAAAGAATAGTCATATGCTCATTAAGTTTTATAGGGATTTTGATAAACTTTTACAAAATGAAATCAATTCTGGATATGATATTATATGATTTGGCTGGCCCTTTTGGGATTCTCTTTGGAATGCTAAATGAAATGTAGAAGATCAAGTCAGATTTAAAGATATAATTTATCTTACAAAATAGAAACTTCTTGGTGGTGTTGTTTCTTGAAAATATCCTAATAAAGCAGACAAGAAAATAGCAGCACTTGCAGTAATTTCCAGTATTACAATATTATATGTCTTTCCAGTTTCATCTATTGCAAGTGCTTTAGTAATATTACACATGACTATATTGATTGCAATCAGTGAAGATCATAAGTACCATCTTATCACATATCCATCAAAACCTATTATCTTAGAAGTAGCATTAGAACTACTTTCAGATAATAGTATTGAATTTGAAATATTAAGTGAATTAGGTAATGTTTTTCAATCTAATGACATTTTTGATGCTAGTAGTCAAGGAAAATTGGTTGTAAAATTGCTATTTTTGAGTACTTGATGCCATTTTGTCTTCTCAAAAAGGAGGGAAAATCCCAATGATAAGGTATGTATCAAATAATTTTGACAAAAATTATTCTTCAATATTAATTTTTATAATCTTATATTTGACCTATATAAAGGTATTCTTCTCCACTCATTTTCCAATCTTGGACTTTTTTCAAGAACTTTTCAAAGACTTTTCAAAGGATAAATTTCACACCTTGAAGGCTTTAAGATTGGATTTACATATTTTATCATGCTTGATTACATACCAAATGAGCAAATTTTTTTGAAAAGTCTACAAACGATGTACTGCTATAGTTTGTCAACATAACCAAAAAGGTATTAATCTAGTAATTCCTATTATGCATAAAGATGTAAATGATATCAGTGCAGTTCTAATTCTAGTTTTTCAGATATATATCTCTTAGTTTAGGTTTGTATTAGTTAAAAATTATTGTATTTATAAGTTAAAAATTACAAAGATAAGCAATCAACAAATATAATAAGGAAAAAAGCTGGATTATCACTCTTACCAGAGATTGTTTTTACTAAGGAACTAGAAAAATATATTGGAAAAAACAACTTAGGATTATATTTAAATATTGGTAAAGAAATATCTACAGTCAACTCTTGTTATAACGAACTCTATGTCCTAGACCTCAACTTCGCTATAAGGTTATAGTGAAGATTTTAAGAGATTTGATTGGCCAATTCGCTATAACAAGAGTATTTTTATTATATTTGTTCAAAAAATTTGTTATAACAAGAGTTCGCTATAACAAGAGTTGACTGTACTTATACTTGTAACATGTTGATTGTCTGAAAAAATTATTAACTATTAACAAAATTTTCATTTACATTATAGAATAAGCATATATAGAGATGCCATTTATTGAACATATTTTTATGATGGAAAAATAATTATACTTAATACTGATCAACCCAGAATAATAAGTACTCATTTTTCTATAATATTTTAACTATCTGAATACAAAATCTACAATTGACTTCTTATTGGTGAACTGGATTCTTTCAATTTTACTGAATAATACAAAAAACTATTATAAAATCTTTTACACTCATGGATTGATCCATTCAATTATACAATCATCAACAGATTTTACGTTAAATGACATTTCCTATATATGACAAGAAAAGGTAAGATCTTTTCTTTCATTATGATTTAAATTTATATAAACTACCTATTAATAAGTTTCCACATTAGATAGGTTATTAGATGATATGAATAGGATAAATAAGAAGATAAAAAAAGAAACAGAATAAATTTAAATACTATTTTCAGCCAAAATGATTATCCTATAGTTTATTTTGACTATTTAACTATTTGTTTATCTTAAATATTATATTTTCTTATTTATTATATAATCTAGTTTATTAATATTAAATAGTATAACTATAGAAGAATTGTTTAAAATTTTAATATAGTTATTAAGAGTAATCCATATAAAAATATATTTTTATAAGCAGTTTGACATTTTAAATTAAGATTGTAAAACCTACAAATAAAATTTAATATATAGGAATATATGTACATGAAAAGTATTAACAAAAATAATAAATACAATGCTTCTAATGAATATTAAAAAGCAATTGATTTTTTAGAAAAAGGTTGTGATTGTAGTTGTTCTTCAAGAATTCCTAGGAAACAATTTGCAGAATTAAGAAAATTCTTTCAAGCTCTTTCTAAATCAGAACAAGACATATTTTTAATAGCTTAACTTAAAGCAATGAATGGTGAATTAATAAGCATTAATAGACGTTTTAAAAAAAAAACTAGATTTAATAAAAAAACTTTCTACCATTAGGATCACAATACATTCCTTTGTCAAAAAACTTATCTCAATATATTAGAAATTGGTAGGACTTATTTTGAAAATATTAGAAATCATCTGATAAATAATGGATTTCTACCAAGAAATTTATGATAATATTAAAAGGATGTCTTAATGAAAAACTAAGATGGAGATTGATAAAAATATTTCAGAAATAATAAAGAATTTTTTAGAAAATTATGCAGAAGTCTATAGATTACCAAGTCCAAAAAGAAGTATTAATAGAATAACTTAATTAGTTACATTCTTACCAGCTGAAATGAGTTACAAATCAGTGTATAGAGATTTTCTAGCTGGTCTAGAAGAAAACAGCAAATTAAAATCCTTAAAATATGATGCATTCAGAAAATTATAACATCAATTGATACCAGAGATTCAAATTATGAGTTCTAGGACTGATCTATGTGATACTTATCAATATTTTCAAAATGGTTTACATTGCAATGCTCACCAAGAGTAAGAAGCTAAAGGATTACTCAAAAGATTTAAAGAACATTTGTTTAAAACTAAATTAGAAAGAAATTATTACAATAAAAACATCAAATTAGCAGAAGAACAAAGAAAACTAGTTGATCAACAATATTTAAAGAGTAAAATACAGTATTGCAATATTAATGCTACTGCATATTATAGTTATGATTGAGTTCAAAATGTTTATATATCACACTTAGATCAACAAGTAAGTAAAATTTATTATCTTAGTCTATGTAAAGTTTATTTATTTGGTATTCAAGATGAAGCAGTAAAGGAGAAAATTAATTATGTTCTTAATGAAAATAAAATTATATGAAAAGGATCCAATGGTACATTTAGTATGATTTTTGATGGAATTAAAAAATTGAATAAAGATAAAAAGCATTTAAAGATTACTTGTGATAATGTTAGTGAACAAAATAAAAATAATGTAATAATTTGATTTTATTATATCTGATAATCTATGGTTATTATAAAAGTATTGAGTTGAATTTTATAATTCCTAGGCACACCAAATTTAAATGTGATGGTAGTTTTGGTTTAATAAAATACTTTATAGGAAGATAAGAATAGATTGTCTGAATTATGTGGTTGAGGTAGTAAAAAAGTCTAGTCTAGCAGGATTAAATAAAGTTTAATGTTATGAAGGTAGAAAGGGTTTTCAATATTTAGATATTAAAGCAATTTTGGGAATTTATTTTAAAAAATTACCAAGTATTCAGAAATATCAACATTTTCTTTTGAAGCAACTAATCTTGATGCAGTAAAAGTTCAGGAAATTGTTAATAGACTTTTGCTAAATTCAATTTATTGAAAACCAAGAAAGTGGATATTTTTGAAGAAATTAAATCTTTATCTATTTTAGTGTTAATACTATCTCCTTTAGATTACAAAAGGCAAGAATATTTTTACTAAAATATTTATCTATTTATGAAAGATGAATACAAAGATATTACTTGTCTAAAACTATTCTATACTGGCAACAAATAAAATATTTAAAACAAAAATACCTCCATTACTTTATCACACTTGTTAATTTATCTTTTATTGTAATTAAGTTTAATAAGTTTGATTTTTTGACAAATATTAGTTTTAAAATAAAAAAAGTACTAAAATAATTTATATACTTAATTTGCACTTATAAAAAGGATATAAGTATTTAAAAGAATAATGATAAACCAAGAAATAATTTTAACTGAAAAGAAAATAAGAGAACTAATTAGTAGTTTAAACCAAAATTCAGATGAAATAGAAATAAGAGCAGTTATAGATTATTTTTGACTTCGCCCTTATGCATTAAAATATTTAGAAGAAAAAGAATTTAGAAAAAGTTTGTTCGCCTTATTTACATGCATAAAAATTTAATGAATTGATAAGTAAAGCTGATAAAGAAGTTAAAAGTCTACAGCTACTAACATCTAGTTTAGAGAAAAAGAGAAATGATTTACTTGAAAAAATTAAGGAATTAAAAGCAAGACTAGAAGAAAAAGATAACATAATAAAGAATTTAGAAGAAAGAGTAGACATGGAAGTTGAAATGAACTTAAAAGCACTAGACAAGTCTAAAGAATATCATAATAGAATTCTTTTCTTATTAGAAATGTCAAAGGATACTATTATAACTAATTTGAAATTAAAAATTTAAGAATTAGAGAAAAGCTAAAAAGTAGACAAAGTAAAACAATTACGAAAATTAGAAAACAAAGCCAAAACAAAAGTTAAGGAAAAAGTTAAAAAACTTAAAGAAAAAGTTAATACAATTAAAGAAAGTATTAAAGAAAAGTTCAACACTTATATTTAATAAAACAATAAATAACTATGAAATTAGAATATAGAATTTTAAAAATAGCAAAGAATAGCATAAAGAGTTATAATTATTGCCTATTATATGTTTATTATGGAAAAAATATTATTTTCACTCCTACTACTTATGAAATAATGGCATATGATAACAATGGAAATTGTGCTGATATTACTTCCATCTGTAATAATTGTAAAAAAGATTTTGAAAATAATAATCTTTCTTATTGTGAACTTTATGATAAATTACAAAGAAATAGGAAAGGTTATTATTGTAATTTATTAAAAGATAGAAAATTTAGAATACTTTCTGCAGAGAAAGGAACTTCTCAAACTATCAAATCTTATTTAGCAAAGAAAACCAAGAACTTGAAAGGAAATTAAAAACTGCTAAAGAGGAGTTGAATATTGAAAGAGAAGAAGTAGCTAAATTTCAGGAAAAATCAGAAGAATGAAGTAAAAAGCAAAAATAGGAGTTATTAGATAAGATAAAAAGTTTAGAAGGAAAAATTAACTACTTAGAAGAAGAAACAAAAAATTAAAAAATCAACAAAAAGATTAATTAACTGCTCAATTTGAAGTCAAAGAGACTAAAAGATGATTTTGATTGAAAATAAAAAAGTAGTTTAAAGAATATTCTAATAAATTGAAATTCATTCTAATTATCAAAGAAATGGTATTTATTTTTCTTTTGAAGATTTTTACTTTTTATTAAATAATAATTCATTATTATGATACTTTTTTTTCAACATTTATTATTTTTCTTTCTTTATAGTAAATTTCATAAGTAATTCTTTCTTTTTTTAAATAAGTTTCTAATATCTAAGTATCATTTATTTTAAAAATGTAAGGTGCAATTTTTTCTCCTTGTTCTTTTTTTAGAATACTT